TCAGATATATGGAGTCGTATCATGGTAATCTGAGGTTAACAAAATTTCGAAATTAATCGAGGCTAATTCCTCGTAGACGTAATACTAAGTGATGTCGCTGCAAAGGTCGTCGGGGGCCTTAATTCACCAGCGCACTACAGACCGTCTCGAGGGAGCCGTCTTGGCGTTAACGGGCCACCCCCTTCGCGAGATCGAGAGTGGCGAAAAGCCTCGAGGGTGCTCGTATTTATAGGAACCAATCGAGTGTTGCAGGGTGCGGCTAAGAAGCGAATGTTCCTCTCGGCGTCGTCGGGGCGACGTAAAGGGTGGACGGATGGGGAGGGAAAGGGTGGAAGGGAGAGGTGGGGGCTTCATCGATTTCTTACCCCGTGGCCCAGTAACGCGTTTCGTGGGACCGTCGTGTGCCATCATTGGGTGTAGCTTCCCCCGGCGAGAGGATCTTGATGCGCCACAAAATGCACCGAACTCGAGAAAATCGCCGATTGCCCCGCCGATCGTTTTCGCGTCGGGTTTTTTACCGCGACGGTACTTAATCCTCTCGTTAGGGCAGAACTTTGGCTATTTTACGACTTAGAGGCGGACTTCTCTCGATCTTTTGCGACATTAGCGAGAAAAGTTTCGAAACGTCTGGTTATAAATAAATTTGAAATAAGTATAAATTTGATAATGCGCGATTATTTATTGATTAATAAGTTAATATATCGTTTTATAATTGTGTCAAATTCCATTAATATAATGCCATTAATTCCATGAATAAATCAATAATTAATTGGAATATCCATTAGTAGCGTTAAACTGTTTGCAGATAATTTACTAAGCGTGCATTATCTGCATACATATCTATGATATGACAAATTTTTGCTATTGCATAGATTATATCATCCTCTCGGATTAAAAGCAACCCGAAATTTTTTTTATTTGTAATTAAATATTTTTATAATTTGTAATTAAATATTTTAATCATACCATATCTAATTCGAGTTTGTATAAAATTGATAATTATTAAAATTACTAAAATCATTAAGTTATTAAGTGCAGTCATCCGGTTATCTTTCTCGCAAAAAGGATGGATATTTCCTCGCGAAGAATTTTGAAAGAAACATTGAATTCGGTATTTGGCGCGTGTTAATTAAAAGTTGAAATCTTCGGGGAAACTTTGAGGACGAACTTTCACGGTGAAATAAAGATGTATACCGGCTTGAATAAAACTCGAAAGTTCACGCGAGGGAAAGAGAGACCGGGGGACAGTTACGTGTGCGTTCGTTAATTCCAGGAATTGTGTACCATCAACGTTCCTCTCTCAAGGAAGATAAATTCCGCAACTTTCCCTCGCATCGCGATCCGTCTCGATTATGCTAATCTAGTATCGCATTAGTGCGCGAGTGCGATTTGCGTAAAACGCGAACGCATCGCGCATCGTGTATCAAGCCGATGCGATCTATTAGAAGGAAAACTCTGACATTCCCGTTAACAATGATGTACAACCCGGAGAGCGGGTAACACATTTAACGCGATAAGCGCAATGATGAATTATCATTACGTAAATTTCATCTATCACGACGCCTCCGCGCGCCCCCCTCCTCCCCCTTCGCGGGAAGGGGGAGGGGGGAGGGAACACATGCACGCGTCCGGTATGTGTAAAACTTTATCCCGGCCACGTCGGCAGCAACATGCTCGCGAATCAATCACGCTTACCTAAATCCATTATCGCGGGGCGATCTTGGTGAAAATGAGCCGCGGTTATTTTTCGCGGGTTGCGCGTTAGTCACGGACGACGTGATAAATTTCTTGTAACGACAACGGTTTAATAACGATCGACGGATTAATAATCGATGCGAGAGCGCGGAAGTTTAACGGCACTTGGAGGGAGGGACGATAACAAATTTTCTCACGTCAGATCGCTCTATTTCGCAGCAACGTGTAATTGCGCATATTGATGATGCGCACGGTCTCTCGCGATGGATGATAGCGTACGCACTGCTTTCCGTTTCTGCGAGTTTATTTACATAGGGAGAATTAGATTAATGCGAACTCGGCTCGCGTATCGCGATAATATTACATATTCATGTAATTTACAACAGTGTTTTCCGACTACTCTCCTTCTCTCTCTCTCTCTCTCTCTCTCTCTGTTTGAAACCGTGTTGTTTAAATAGAGTAAAGTACAATTTATTCGACAAACATAGGGAGAAATATCCTGGGTGATACGCACCGCGGTAGCTGTCAATTGATTCGCTCTCTGGTTATTGTATCATTAAAATTAAATAACGAATCGGATAATTGAATGTTTGCGTACTTTACAAAAAAAGATCCCCTCGAATAATATTAATTCTTGTTGAGAAAATGAATTTATTATTCATTATTTGTGAGGATCAACTTCTCGGCCATTGTCTGATGATGAATGAAAAAAAGTACAATACTTCATATCTAATTCCTATCAAAAATAAAATGTACTAAAGAAGAGAGAGGAAGGTTCTTTTCTGGATATAATTAACCGTTAATTAAATAACGAATCAGATAATTGAACATTTGCATACTTTACAAAAAAAGATCCCCTCGAATAATATTAATCCTCGTTGAAAAAATGAATTTATTATTCATTATTTGTGAAGGATTAACTTCTCGACTATTGTCTGATGATGAATGAAAAGCACAATACTTCATATCTAATTCCGATCAAAAATAAATTGTACTAAAGAAGAGAGAGGACGGTTCTTTCCTGGATATATTATTAATCGTTAATTAAATAACGAATCAGATAATTGAATGTTTGCATCTTTCCTGGATATAATTAATCGTTAATTTTATAACGAATCGGACAATTGAATATTTGCATCTTTTACAAAAAAGCTTCCCCCGAATAATATTAATCCTCGTTGAAAAAATGAATTTATTATTCAGTGTTTGTGAAGGATACAAAAAACTTAACAGCCATCGTCTGATGATGAATGAAAAAAACACATTTACAAAATGACTTCGTCTAATTTCTATCAAAAATAAATTGTACTAAAGAAGAGAGAGAGGAAGATTCTTTCCTGGATATAATTAATCGTTAACTAAATTAAACAAAACTCATACAACGCACCTACACACGCTTGTATTAAGAAATTTACATGTATCCCTCGCTATTTCTGAACTATCGTACTTTGCGAGGGAGAGAGGAAGAGATGCGCGTCTGGATTAACTTAATCAACCCGAGTATTTGCCGAGGAAAGGAAACGGTCTCGGAGTTTCGACAAAGATGGAGAGAGGAGAATCCTTGGGGCGGGATACTCGAGGCGAATTGGCCGCGGTCTCGGCAACATTACTGACGTCACGCGAGCGGAATTTGCGGAATACATTTTAATAGATTTTAATAGATTCGCTTAATGCGCCAATTCATTGTACATACATTTCCGGTACATAACGCCGATGTTGCTAAATAAATACACGCTCGATTTGCGCCGCGTGCTCTTTTAAACAGCTTTAGTCAACGCGACACAATGAACGACGAAGCGCGAATGTACAATTTGCCGGATAAAGCGCGATACCATCCGATTGATTCGGCGATTAATTAAAATAAATTCGACGCGCGGCTCATTAATCGGTGGTGTATCATACGGGCTTCTATCTAAACTTTTAATAACGAGAGCGAACGTGTAATTAATCGTACATTTCATTTTTAATCTCTTCATAATGGACGCGCCATCGCTTTGAGTTGATGAAGTGACGAATCCACGTGTTCATTTATGCTACGGGTGATGTAAAAATTATGCGGAATTTATCGATGCTTGCCATCGTAAAATGTAGTTAAGAGCTTAATGTACCAATCTAGAAGAAGCATCTGTAATTATACATTTTTCTCCTAACGGGCAACCTAGTTCTATCAATAAATGTCTACTTCTGGAATGAAGTGCCGTTATCTGAAACTACTTAACCTTCTTGCCATCGGCGACCGGTAATTGCCCATCTTAAATTTCTGTAACCGGGCGAAAAAATGATTAACGGTCCGGGATTCTTTATCGCTCAAGTTCCGTACCTCAGCGCAAAGTATATTAAGACCAAACCGCGAGAATATATAATGCGTGGAATAAAGTTAGGATGGGCGAGTTTCGAAACTCCGCGATAATATCCTCTCTTTTGCATCGTTCAGTACAGCTCTTTTTTAATTATGTATCTCGCCGATACGTTTATTATTTATCAGTCAGCTTTACTTTACTCAAGATTCGCCTCGCGAGATTAAGCTCGCTGCAATCACGATCATACTCGGCATCATTTATTACTATTTAGAGATATTCACGACAATGAAAAAAATGTTTAATTAATTGTGTGAATAATATTTTGATTTAAAATTATTTAGTCCATAATTCTTTTTACAAAATTGTAGACAAACTTTATTTTTCATAATGAGTTTTATCATGTCGTATAAAAAAGTTTGCTATTCAGTCAAGATTTTAATGTATAATTAATTCTTCTGCAGAAACTCTTGCAAGTTTCTTGAGAGCAATGAAACTTGCATGTGTATGGATATGTGGAATATTTCCGGTCCTATTTGGAATTCAAAAATATGACTAACACGCAATGTGAACTTTGCATTCGATACTGCCAAGCAGACGCTTTTAGTTGTTTATTGCATTTACCATATAAAACGTATACCATATAAAACGTCGAAGGGAATAAACTCGAAATATATCTGACGATCTTAATATTAGCATTGATAATTCATTAATATTTTTTTTTTTACAAAAAATATATATTTTCATTATTATTTATAAATTATTAATATAAATTATTAAATAAATTATTATAATAATTATTAATATAAATTATTAAAAATATAATCTTAAGCAAGAGTTATCTCGCTATTTTTCATCTTTCAAATCGGAAATTTTTAGATTTACAAGCAATAATTAATTTTACAAAATTTAATTGTTAGAAAAATATTTTGAGCTTAAGTGATTGTGACACAATACGATTCCTTTGATATGTTGAAACGCTCTAATTACTAAATTTCTTTGTTACAGTAACGAAATTCATCCGCATAGGGATAGCCGACAAGAACGATAATCCCCCATATTTCGACAAGGGCCTCTACGAGGCTGAGGTAGATGAAAATGAGGACATTCAGCACACGGTACTCACCGTCACCGCCAAAGATCACGACGAGTGTAAGTACTTGCTATTTTAATGATATTACCGCATTAAAATTGTCATACCATGCTTTAATTTTTTTATACGACAGCTAAAATTACAATGAAATTTATAGCCCTCATATTCTTGTAATTATATGCATTTCTGCCTACATGTTTTAGATATTATTTAATCGATCTGCCTAAATATTCATAATTAATTGCAAACATGTAAACATGCGAATTAATTAATTCCGGAAGGGAAATTATTTCGAATTGCGATCTTTTTCATTCATCACTAGGTGACAAGTTGAATGCGATGAGATGCAAGTTTTCACGAGACCACTTTGCTCCCGACTCGACTATCATATTTCATACAAGGATTATCATTTCCGAAAATTTAAATTATTCTATTATTCTCCAACTTATAGTCTAAAACTGACAATTACATTTGTGTATTATGGAAATTTCGGCTCTCATTTTGGTTGAAGCATTTAAGCTCGGTAGTAAAACGCGGATTGTAAGCGCGGAAAGTTCGCAATATGCTTTGAAATAAATTAAACAAAGTTCCCTGATGCATTTAATTTGTTTCGATATTTGATCTTTTTAAAAGGATGCGGTTAAACAAATCGTGAAATGAATATCCACAATTTTGTAGCTGAAAATATTGTATTCATGGTTTAATAAATTTAAATAATGCATCTGAAATTAATATCTGTATTGCTCAATGTATAATAAGCACACAAGAAATGTACAAATTTGATTCAAATTATTCTTTTTAAACCGCGTACACAGTCAATATTACGTAAACACATTAACATGACAGCACGTGAGGGATGATATGCTGTATGCAATTAAAGTCTCGCATAAATAAACCGTTCTCTCCTCCATGTATTTGTTTATGTGTACATCATTATTTCTCTTCCATTTTTATTGGTTCAGCTGAAAATCACACAGATAATGCTACGTAACTTAAATTATGCGGAGATTATTAATGATGTTGGAAATTAAATTCTGTTACCAAAAGGGGTAAAATCCGAATGAAATTTGAATATATAAGGAAATCTAAAATCAAAATTACTGAATATAATTTTTTATTAGACTCTCGTGTCTATATCATTATGAAACGTTTGAATTATCGGTGGGATATATCACGAATAGTATCGAGCAAAGTTGAGATCGAAGCCGACACCCCCGCACCAGCATCGTTCAAACTTTCTTACGCGATAAAACTCGCTCGCAGCGAAAACTTTTATCTCGAAATTCATTCGATTGCAACGCGGAATGTCGGAGAGAAAAGAGAAGTCACGACTTGCTTTTATTAAAAGCACCCTCCCTTTTTCTCTGTCGCAGCCTCGCGTATTCGATACGAGATCACGAGCGGGAACATAGGCGGTGCATTCGCCGTGAAAAACATGACCGGCGCCATTTACGTCGCGGGTGCGTTGGACTATGAGACGAGGAAGAGGGTTGGTATCACCATTAATGTCATTCGAGCGTGTCGACTGGACGCTTTTATTCCACTTTACTAACTGTCTTTGTTTATTCAGAAATTATTTAAAATGCCACGTGTTACAGAAGCTTCTAACAATAAGTTTTTTTTTTGCATTTTTTAGAAATCCCTTCTTTTAAAGATAATTAAATATTTTTTTTTTAAATTATTTAAATAATAGAAAAGACAGTTTGTGATTTTATTTATATACATTATATATTAAAATAAATTTTTAATAACGTAAAATAATCTATATAATGTGATTATAAAAATATATTAACGATTTGATTAATTATTTTATTATACGTGTGTAATACTTAAAAAATGTAAAATATAGAAAAATTCCGATGGTATATCTTGATTGTAAAATTTGTGTTTTTTCTGTAGTACGAGCTTCGGCTTACTGCTTCGGATAACTTGAAGGAGAATTACACAACGGTTGTAATTCACGTGAAGGACGTAAACGACAACCCGCCCGTCTTCGAGCGTCCAAATTACAGAACCCAAATTACTGAGGAGGACGACAGGACTCTGCCGAAACGCGTACTCGGGGTAATTGCTCTCTCCTTATGTAACATCGAACTTCCGAATTGTGTATTCTGAATGGACATTTACCGTTGACCACAACGCATTTACGGTAAATTTGCAATTAATATTTGATCCTCAGGTAACTGCGACTGACGGAGATAAAGACAGACCACAGAACATTGTATACTTCCTAACTGGGCAAGGTATCGATCCTGAGAATCCTGCTAACAGCAAGTTCGATATCAACCGTACGACTGGAGAAATCTTTGTTCTGAAGGTTTGTTTCCTATTTGATTAATATTATCTTATTATTGATACATGATGTTATCTCTTCTTATAATGAATATTATATAGAAACAACAATCCTTGCAATAACAATTAATAATATTATGTTAATATTACTAACATTTATGTTTATTTAACAATATTATATTTATATAACAATTTATTATATTTATATAAAAATAATTTTGCTTTATACAAGATATAATTATTATATATATTTTTTTACATCGTTATACATCCTCAAGAATCAATAGATAGAAGTTAAATTGAAGAAAAATAACACCAGTGTTCTTTTCATTAGTAATTATTAGATACAACAGAATTAAACAGCTGTATCGAATTAATTTTTAAAGATTTTTTCATTTTAATGCTACAGTATTTTTTTAAGTAATCTGAAATGAATTTCGTTTTAATAAGTTTGATTTGAAATTTAAAACAAAATGATAAAATGATCCTTTCAATGATCTCTTTGGTTAACGATCAATTTGAATTGATATTTAAACACCTGGTGTAATCTGACATCTGGTCGACATGGAAATTAATTCTTCCATGACTATAGAATGTACATGTTTGTGCACGTGTGACGCTGTGCAATATCGTGATGGAATAATAATTCAAATATCGACTCCGCGAGATGGTATTGAATTTCGGGTAAAGACTGTGTCAATATATAACATCCTCGTCGAGAATCCTACGTTTAACTGTCTTCTCAAACGATCCTCATGTGACTTTGGTTTTTTTCTCCCGGCAGCCGCTTGACAGAGATCAACCAAATGGCCGAGCACAGTGGCGATTCACCGTATTTGCTCAAGACGAGGGTGGGGAAGGTCTCGTGGGATATGCCGACGTTCAAGTTAATCTCAAGGACATCAATGACAACGCTCCAATATTCCCGCAAGGGGTCTACTTCGGCAACGTCACTGAGAACGGCACCGCAGGTTTGTGGAGAAACTGTCAATTGAAATAGTTTAGAGATCGCGGTTGTATTTCCCTACGTTACGTTGATTGCACACCGTTATAATTGTAATATATTATAGCAATAAATCTAAGAAACATAGAATTTCATCCTTAATAAGCTGGCAATTCAAATATTATATTTTAGAATATATTTATTAAAAATTTAATTTTTTCTTAATAATAGAAGGATGTAAATTTAATAGCTTTTGATACTTTTTTTTATTAGGAATGGTTGTAATGACGATGACTGCCGTGGATTACGATGATCCAAACGAAGGCACAAATGCAAAACTCATGTATTCTATCGAAAAGAATGTCATCGAGGAGGAGACTGGCTCGCCCATTTTCGAAATTGAACCGGAAACTGGTGTAATCAAGACTGCAGTATGCTGCTTGGACAGAGAACGCACACCGGATTATTCTATACAAGTCGTTGCAATGGATGGAGGGGGGTTAAAAGGTAGAATTTTCTCTTGATAATTCCAATAGCTCAATTATTAATCATTAATAATGTCGCATTCAGATTTTTATTGAGCGATATCTAAAAAGATTTAATAATACAAGCATGACAAATTTTATTTAGTAAAATATTAGTCGTGAAGGTAAAAAGGAGTTGGTTATTTCTACATTTTATATTTTCTTGTTATGCTTTATATTTGTTTAACAAGATAAAAACATTAATTACGTTTTGCGTATCTTTTACAAGTCACGTTTTGGCTTCAAATATTCATCTGCAAAAGTTAGAAGTCTGCACCGCCATGTGTACAGAATGGCTATTTCCGGACGCGTTTTACATATTTTAAACGTTTCCTGGGATATTCCATCGAGAGCATTGTGTACCGCATATACTTTTCCTCTCAGGTACCGGGACGGCATCGATACGAGTAAAAGATATAAACGACATGCCACCGGCGTTTACGAAAGAGGAGTGGTTTACCGAAGTGGACGAGACGGAAGGACCAGATCTGCCGGAAATGCCGATACTCACTGTTACTGTTCACGACGAAGACGAAACCAATAAATTCCAGTACAAGGTATCTCTTGCGTTTGCAATATAACGTTTTTAATCAGATAAAAAATTAAACGAGAATAGATACAATTATAATTTAAAAGACAATAGCAGTTAGAACATTCTAGTAATTTTGCAAAGTGTTTTATCGCATTTATTCTTGATACTTTCCCATTTGAAATAATACAGTCAAAGCGCCTTTTTCCATTTAAAGCTGAAAAGAAAACAGAACGATTAAAAATTCAATATTTATGACTTTCAGGTAATCGAAAATAGCGGTTACGGTGCCGATAAATTCACCATGGTACGAAACAACGATGGCACAGGATCGTTGAAAATTGTACAATCGCTGGACTATGAGGACCAACTGCAGAGTAACGGCTTTAGGTTTAGGATACAAGTGAATGATAAAGTGAGTAATCAGGGAAGGATATATAAAATGGATGAAAGAAATGATATATAAAAATATATATGATTAAAAGAATATACATGAAATTTTAGAAAAAAAATTGAGAGATTAGGATATATGTAAAGAATTTTTATCTATAGTATAATTTTAATTAAATCTCTCTCTCTCTCTTTCTTCTTTTAAAAAACAATTTTTCTAGTTAAAATTATAAAATTTTTTAAAAAAACTTCTTTTAAATTACGGAAAAATGTTGAATATAAATTTTTATAAATATGATTTTTAAGCTAATCAACAAATACTTTTTTAGGGCGAAGACAACGATAACGACAAATACCATGTGGCCTATTCTTGGGTAGTTGTAAAATTGCGAGATATCAACGACAATCAACCGCAGTTCGAGAAAGCCAATATCGAGACTACTGTTCCGGAAAACGCCCGCATAGGTAGTAGCCTGGAAACGTTCAAAGCCACTGATCCAGATCAAGGTGGAAAGAGCAAGGTCTCTTATTCTATCGATAGAAGCTCCGACCGAAAGAGGCAATTCTTCATCAACGAAAATGGCACCGTATCAATACAGAGAAGTCTTGATCGCGAAGAAACTCCTCGACATCAGGTAGATTATAAGATGTCAATACGAATTAACAGATTGTTATAAATTATTCCATTTAATTTATTGTCAAAAGATCATAATAAAAATTAAAAATAAAAATAAAACATTTGCTGCTTTAGGTTAAAATTTTGGCAATTGATGATGGAATACCACCTAAGACCGCGACAGCCACCTTGACAGTCGTTGTACAAGATATTAATGACAATCCACCGAGATTCCTCAAAGACTATCGACCAGTCTTACCAGAGTATGCACAAACGAAAAAGGTCGTTGAGATTCTCGCTACTGATGACGATGATCGATCGAGAAGCAATGGCCCTCCCTTCACTTTCAGGATGGATCCTAACGCAAACGATGTTATCAGAGCTAGTTTCAAAGTTGAAAGTGATAACAGTAAGTTTGATTAACCAATTATATTATTTATTATTATTTATTACAATTTATTATTTATTACAAATTATTTTATAGAAATTTTCTCGAATAATTTTAATCTTAATTCTTTTTAAGACTATATTAGTTTTCTTTTTATAGGATAAAACATTTTAATTAAAATAAAATAAAATAACACATCATTCATACTTTTCTTATTTTGCAGAGGGAGCTAATGGAGATGGAATGGCTGTAGTATCATCTTTACGATCTTTTGACAGAGAACAACAAAAGGAATTTTTAATCCCCATTGTCATCAAGGATTCTGGAAATCCTTCTATGTCTGGGACCAGTACTTTGACAGTTATTATAGGAGATGTTAATGATAATAAAATGCAACCTGGTTCCAAGGAAATCTTTGTATATAATTATGCAGTATGTATTTACACTAAATTATATTCAGATTTTAATTGTAAACTTTAACTGTATTTATTGTGATTTCTTGATATAATAAATAATCCATAATTCATAATTAATTTTCAGGGACAATCGCCGGATACCGAAATAGGTAGGGTCTATGTGTACGATCTGGACGACTGGGATTTGCCAGACAAGAAATTTTATTGGGAAGGATTGGAGCACGCACAGTTCAGACTTGATGAAGATACAGGAATGATTTACATGAAATCCGGCACACATGACGGCAAATATCATCTACGATTTAAGGTCTATGATCGAAAACACACGCAGACAGATGTACCCGCGAACGTAACTGTCACCGTAAAGAGTATTCCGCACGAAGCAGTATTAAATTCAGGCTCGGTTCGAATATCCGGAATAACGGACGAAGATTTTATTCGTGTTTGGAATTATCAGGTAAGAGTTTTAAATCTAAATAAATTATATAAATAAATATTATTAAAAAATATTAATAAACAAAAGCTATTAATATATTACTAATAAAAATTTTTTATTAAATTTAACTTTTAAGCAAAAAATTTCTCTTTGAATTTATTTTAATCAATGGAAAGAGATAATATATAATATTTTTTTAATTTTCAGAATCAAACTCTGTCGCGTAGCAAAGCGGATCTATTTAGGGATAAGTTGTCGCAGCTGTTGAACATAGACAGGGATAACGTAGATGTATTCAGTGTCCAATTAAGAAGAGTACATCCACCATTGACAGATGTTAGATTCGCTGCACATGGTTCACTGTATTATAAACCAGTCAGGCTTAATGGCATTGTGCTTATGCATCGTGAAGAGGTAAATATCATTTGTGAGGTTGTTTGTAAAGAAAAAATTTCAAATAAGTTCTTAAACGATGCTGATTATTTGATTATTTTTAACAGATTGAGAAAGACGTGGGTATTAATATAACTATGGTCGGCATCGACGAATGTTACTATGAAAACGAGATGTGTGAAGGTAGTTGCACGAACACCCTTGATATTAGCAACCTACCATACATGGTGAACGCGAACAGGACTGCTCTTGTCGGCGTACGCGTAGATGTGATAGCCGAGTGTACTTGTGGAGCGCGAAACTTCAGTAAGGGAGAGTCCTGCAGGAACAGTCCTTGTTACAATGGCGGACGCTGCGTAGAAGATCGGTTTGGATTATCGTAAGTAAAAATAAAGCAAATTTTATTTATCAAAATTATATTCATTTATATGAATTTTGAATTAAGAAGGTAGTAATAATTCAAACAATATATATTGGATTACAAAAAATTTTTTAAATAATTTTTATTTTATTGTCAATTTCTTTGATTACCACAATAGCTTATGGGTTTTTCTTTACTATTTTTTTTTAGATGTCAATGTCCATCTGGTTACAATGGTCCGAGATGTCAACAAACGGCCAGAAGTTTTCGAGGCAATGGTTGGGCATGGTATCCCGCTTTAGAGATGTGCGATAACAGTCACTTGAGTTTCGAATTTATTACGAGAAAGTCCGACGGATTATTATTATACAATGGTCCGATCGTTCCTCCCGAAGTCGACGAAATAATGGTTTCCGGTAAGATTTTCATATTCTTTTACATGACCAATTATACAATTAATGATGTTTCAATAATCTTTTTTTATATCAACAGATTTTATTTCGGTCGAATTGGAACGCGGTATACCGAGACTGCTGATCGATTTTGGATCCGGCACTTTAGAATTGAAGGTGAAACCAAAGAAAACTTTAGACGACGGCGAATGGCATCGGCTTGATATTTTCTGGAATACAGAGGTAAAATAAATATTGTCATAGCTTTTTGCGATTTGTCTTCATAAATTTAAAGCGACTTTAAATGCGAGTTTTATATTTTGCAGACTGTGAAACTCATCATCGATTACTGCAAATCCGCGGATATATCCGAACTGGAGGATGGAAGCCCGCCGGAATTCAACGATACCAGTTGCCAAGCTACGGGAACTGTGCCGCCGTTCAATGAATATCTAAACGTGAACGCGCCATTGCAGATCGGCGGTCTTTATGTGGAACAATTCGATCCGTCGCACTACAAATGGAAATATATGCCAGTCGGCAAGGGCTTTGATGGCTGCATTAAAAACCTCTTCCACAACAGCAAACTGTACGATCTCGCTCATCCAGGTCTGTCGCGAAACAGTGTCGCCGGTTGCCCGCAAACAGAGGAGATCTGCAATAATCAAGAAGCGACATTCCGCTGTTGGGAGCACGGTACCTGTGTGGGCAGCTTTACCGAAGCGAGGTGCCAATGCAATCCCGGCTGGACTGGTCCCGGATGCATGACACCGACGATTCCGACCACCTTCAAGCCACAGAGTTACGTCAAGTATGCGTTGTCCTTCGAGCCGGATAAATACTCTACTCAGATGCAATTGAGATTCCGCACTCGCGAGATTCACGGTGAACTCTTCAGAGTAAGCGATCAACACAACAGGGAATACGCTATTTTAGAAGTGAGTGTGTGCGACGTATTTTAATATTTAAAAAATATTCTTGTTTACAATTTCTTTTCGATTTTTACGTAATTTATGATTTTAATCCAAATTATTTATTTTTATTTAAATTATTTAAATATATATATTTATTTATGTATGTATTTATCGTAATTTTCAGATAAATTAGACTCGTTAGAGAAGAAAGAATGGAAATAACTGAAATGTCTGTCTTTATAATTCTAGATTAAAGACAGCAGACTGCACTTCAGGTATAATCTGAACAGTCTTAGAACAGAGGAGCGTGATATCTGGCTTTCGGCGATAGCCGTTGATGATGGACAATGGCACACGGTCAGAGTATCGAGATACGGATCTGCAGCGACCCTGGAACTGGACGGTGGCGAAGGACGAAGATTCAACGAAACCTTCTCCTTTGAAGGACATCAGTGGCTCCTGGTAGACAAGCAGGAAGGTGTCTATGCCGGTGGCAAGGCAGAATATACTGGCGTCCGTACTTTTGAGGTTTACGCAGATTATCAAAAAGGTAATTTGTGTCACTTTACGAAAAAGTAATTATAAATATGCATCTCATGAAAAATTTAATAAATATCTATATACATCTATATATATCTCGACTTTCTTAATAAATATCTATATATCTCGATTTTTTAATCAATGAAATTTGTAAATATTAATTGTATACAATTGTTTAATAAAAATTTTAGGTTGCTTGGACGATATAAGATTAGAAGGAAAACATCTTCCACTACCTCCCGCTATGAACGGTACTCAATGGGGTCAGGCAACGATGGCGCGAAACTTGGAAAGAAATTGTCCATCGAATAAACCGTGCGCCAATGTCATTTGTCAAGATCCTTTCGAATGCATCGATCTTTGGAACGAATATGACTGCACGTATGTATTATTTATCCTATTCTTTTATTTTTGGAACAATTAATACATTATATTTCGTTTTTTCCTCGCAAAGTTGCGGAGAAGGAAGGATTCCATCGCCAGATAACAAAGGATGCATGGATAAGAACGAGTGTATCGACTATCCCTGCCTGAACGGTGGCAGATGCATCAATCAGGATCCGCGATTCCGATATCGATGCATCTGTCCTGATGGTTTCTGGGGCGAAAACTGCGAATTGGTGCAAGAAGGTCAAACGCTCAAGCTTAGTATGGGCGCGCTGGCGGCCATTCTTGTTTGTCTTTTGATTATTCTTGGTTAGTATATTCAAGCTAATTCATTATCGAATATTTTAAACCCTAAATACATAGCTTAACACATGCTTTTTATATTTTTATTATTTTATGTGTTTTAAATATGCAAAATTCTTTTTTATTTTATGTTTGATCACGTCCAATTATGTTTCAGTTCTCATATTTGCGGCACATATACAGCCGGATTGATTGAAAAATAAAAAGTTATATTACGAAAGCTTATATTTTTTTATTTTATTCCTTCTATACTATTTTCTTTTTGCACTTGAAAACTGCTTTAATTTTTGTGCTTATAAAAACTGCATTTTTAAAAGTCTATTTAATGAGCTTTCGTTTAAAAACATGTTTCAACTGACAAGACTGATACCTGCTTTGCACATTATAACATCGTAAATTTAATTTCCGCAATGGACTTTGTTACACTTTGCACTTACTTGAACTCCTTGAATTAAAAGAGAAGTATTACTTTGAAATTGATAAAGTGAATTTTTTTACTCGTTCAACTTTAATAATACGAATTATTTTGTCGATATTTCAGTTCTCGTGTTGGTATTCGTCGTTTACAATAGAAGACGAGAAGCTCACATAAAGTATCCAGGTCCAGACGACGACGTGAGGGAGAATATTATCAACTATGATGACGAGGGTGGCGGAGAGGACGACATGACCGCATTTGATATCACGCCCTTACAGATCCCGATTGGTGGCCCGATTCCGGAAATGGGCGGCAAGATACCTCCGTGTAAAGTAGCCTGTACGTGTACCTTTTATTGCTTGTGAAATGAAATAACTTATGAGAACTGATAATCGATAAGAGTATCTCATTTCTTTAGATCCACTTGGACCGGAGCCGAATGTCGGCATTTTTATCGAGGATCACAAGAAGAGGGCAGACAGTGACCCGAATGCACCGCCCTTTGACGACTTGCGGAATTACGCTTACGAGGGTGGCGGAAGTACCGCAGGTTCTCTGGAATCATTAGCATCCGGTATGTAAAGAAGAGAATTTTTTAAATATTCATTTTAAGCATTTTATAAAAGTCACTTTAAAAGATTCTTGCCCTTTGTTTCGCATTCTTAAAAATTTTAATTTTTTTGTTGCATTCACAACAAATAAATTGATATAAATACAGGTACAGATGATGAGCAACACGAATACGAGTATCTAGGCGCCTGGGGTCCGAGATTCGACAAACTGGCCGACATGTATGGTCCTGCGGAGGAGAGTGAAGAAGAGGATTAAGTTAGCGTCCAAAAGTACAGCCGAGTCTCTACATCATACCACACCGAGTCACGCGATCCATATCATCCGAATGAGTGCTCGTGCGATCTTGATCAAGGCGACCTGATCTGTCACGTCGGATGGTCAGGAATCTATCACGAACATTCGGAGGATCCCGAGAGATATCCGCATCCCTCGTCGAGAATGATAAATTCTCGACGAATGTGAAGCGGTAACATTCTCATAGTTGTGCGGTTAGTGAAAGTACTATGACGTTAAACGTTACGTCATCCGTAATGTCATCCGCGGTGCGTGCACAAAAATATACACAACACACGCACATATACATATATATACTCGGGATCGAAAACGAAGGTTGCAATAATGCTGGATGATTAATGGTAGAGATGGTTAATAAAAAGGCGGAGAGAAAAACGTCGCAGCATACCTATCTGTATAGTACGTTATGTAACGTAAAACGTAGTGAAATATCCAAAGATATTGCGCGACGAGACTTTTTCTAACGGATTCCCCCTCCCCTCCTCCTCATTGCATCACTCCCTCACTCATCGGTCACCATCGGGGCAAATTACTCCCCCGCGTACACTAAATACATATATACGTGTAGGTGTATATCGCGTTGTTGTCATCAGTGTTGGATCTTAGATCAGCGTGTCGTCCTCGCGTAACCGGAATCGTTTATTTATTTATTTATCGTCGCGATGCGGGCGAACGCGTTAAATGTGTTAATCAAGGGCATTCTCTCACACACATACACATACACATACATAGACACAGACACATAACACGTTAACACGATATCGTTCTCTCGGCGTGTCATGATTCGTCGACGACGGCTCTCGTCGCATAAATTTTTTATTTCTTCGTTCTTCTGCACGAGTTTCGCAGGACCTCGATCCTTAATGAGTACATTTCATTGTCCTGAACGCGGAGGAGTTCTAAAAGCAGTGCACTCTCGTTCGTGACGGACGATCCTACCGTAGATAGTCTGCTATAATAGGGATTAACGTTAAGGTATCATTAGTTGTCGCGACATCGGCTCATTGTCGTCATCGTCATCGTCATCGCCATCCTCATTAGTGATAGTATTATATTAAATATTATAATATATATATATTATAAATATTTATATATATATATAGAAGAACGCACGAAGCGAAAAAAAGAGAGAATGATTAATGAGAAAGTCCAAGAAGAGAGGGAAGAGAAACTTGCGTTGACAGAGAGAAAGCACGTTTATCGTGCGCGTAATGTAATTATTATAATTTTAATATAGCGGACATAAAAAGTCTAAGTATAAATACAAATATATATAAATATATATAAATATAAATATAAATAAAATATATATTATACATACAGACAGAGGACACGTACGAACATACAGACAACACGAGAAATGAGATGATATACATCCGCTAAACTATGCTCACGTTGATATATCTCGAAATAGTTTTTAATATTTATTTTACGTCATCGAAGAGAGGGGAGATATAGGAGAATTCGGAGTGCAAAAACACAGCACGACGGGGTATATTAAATATGCGTGCACGAGGAGAGAAAGAAATGTGGAATTTCAGATTCTAGTCATCTCAAATGATTCGATGATGCATTGTTTCGATGTAGATTGGATTTCCTGAACACTTTTCCATAGGGACGATTTCCAGAAAGATAACACATTTGTACATTAAAATTATAAAGTAAATTATTGAAAATTTTCTTTTTTTTTACTTCGAAAATTGTGTGTAGTTTAGGAAAAGATAAAAATTAATGTATAAAAAAATAAAGGAAAAAACTGGCAATATGAATTTTAAATCGGATCGAGTGAATTAATTAATGAATAAGGAGGATACTTTAGATTTTTTTATCTCGACAAAATTAGAAGAATCGATTGTGCGCCGAGAATAAAAGTAAAACAACCGACCTAAGAAAGAGATTCATAAGAGACTTGATGAGATCCTCGTGCACGCTTGATTATGTCGTCGCGCCTTTCGCGGAAAGGAACTTTCCACGCACCGAGCCCCGACTGAAACCTGTAAAATTCTCAACGGGAATTTATTAATAGTCAATTTACCAGTTAGAGAGAGATGGCGTTATAAAAGATGTACGTCGTAAGCACTTGTACGAATATTGTAATTAACATGTGTATGAGTGTGCCGGCGCGCGCAATATTCTGCGCAACGCTGTATAACTGTCCTACCAATGATCGTGTTTGCGTATGGTTTCTCAACGAATTTGTGATATTAAGTTGCGTATGTCTACATCCTACCACCTATCTAAACACACGTCCCGCGTACAATCGTTGCTCCCGAGGACTGCGAGCATCGAGCTCTGATGAAGCAAGAGGAAATTTTTTTAGACATTTGATATTGTCTGACTGATAATCAGTTTCAAGGGCAACTTGTATGAAAGAATTGTTGCAATTCCCAATTTCTTTGTTCCTAAATTGAGTAGATTACGCAAAGATGATGATGGCTTAATGATAGAATTTCGATATAGAAATAGATTTTTTTCGAACTACAACGAATGTCCGAGATGTAAATTTACCATCGCGTTATAATATGGCAATAATTCTACTGCGAGCAATAAGTTCACTAGCAATAGATACAGTTTTAGTTTCACGCATTTAAAATTTGTCACTTTGAGCTACTTGATTCATAAAATTCGATTGCATAAAGAAGGAATATCGCGAATAGAGAAGAGAGATGTATCTCAATGCATGAAAATTGATGAAAAGGTTTATTTACATTTATTTTTCAAGGCAAATAACTTATTTTTGAGAAATTTTAAAGAAATCGCCGAAAATTTTTCTATATATTAAATTTTAATTAATTTAATCTTACATTTTAAGACTTTTATACATGTATACAGTGTTTATTATTTTAAGAATTGTCATGATCTCTCGGTGCCCGTATGTCCGATTCATCGAAGCCCACCGTTCATCCTAGATCTTTTTAGTCTATCCATTCCTTGTCATGTGCTCGATCCCGTAAAGTAGATTCTAAGCAGAGACAGTATTTGAATGGGGATTATTATTGAAGGACGAAAGAATTATCGTTGAGTAACTGTATTGAGTAGCGCGCAAGTGCGCGTTGCGTGTGTGCAGTGGCAAAAAAAAAAGAAAAGACAGCCTGATTATATGAGTGAAGACGTCGATGAGATGCAATTGATTGCTCGTTCGACGATCAATCGAGGATCAAGATAAAGATAAATTCTTGTCCTTTTATTTAATTAAACATACAATTCAAAATAATGGATCTTAATCTAAGAAAAATTTTTCGATCGTTAAATGTCAATTTACTCGGATTCTGTTTGGAATAAATTGTTCCAAGCAGGTTTTAATTGAATTTACATGTAAACTGATAAAGCAGTTTTGTACGTTCTGAAAGATCCTTTTCGTTTAATATGACAGTGATTAATTGCGTACCTGTACGTCGACGAGACTCGAAGTCTCCTCCGTTCGCTCGACCCGTACACCTCGAATTTTGATTTTAAAAATTTCGTAAAGAACTATACATTTAACGCGACGATAGCGGAGAATGTACGCAAGAGATGGAATCTAGAGTTCCAAAGTATGCTTGAAGAAATGCAAAGATTGAAGCCGATATTACAAAGATATCTATGAGATATCTTGAAAACATTTAAAATACGTGCGCGAAAAATTAATATTTTTTGGATATCTCTACAATGTCTCCTTTTTTTAAAATATCTTTATAATATATTCTTAAGTGATTTCACACTGTCATGATAAATTCAAATTTGATGCGATAAATTTTGCTATGCACACAAAAAATCTATAATAATTTATTATATTCTTAATAATCTTAAATAATTTAAAAATCGCGTATACATAATATATTATATAACATTATATGATTCATAAAAGTCGACGATTGGCATGTCAAATTTCTGTGGCATTGAACATTTAAATCGCCGAAGTTATATCGGTTACAATTTTTACAAGAATTTTTCAAGAAGTCCATAAATCAGAAAAAAGAACTGGCGGGGCAAAAAGAAATATGATTTTATGATCGCTATCGATTGAATTTACTTGTACTTTTAACAAAAGATGTTGACGAAAGAAACGCGAAAAGTCGAAAGAAAAATAATTTAATTGGAAAAAATTGAGAAAGAAGGAAGCAAAAATTAAAGTAACGACACGTTCCTTAAATTCATTCCAAAATGCAATCTCATTGCGATTAATATAATTAATAATAAAAAGATTCGGCTCAAAGTTATTTATCGTCGTTAGATTAGTCTCTGTGCTTGCTTGAATTGTGCGTATAATTCCAGAAAATTGGCATTGTAAATGAAGGCGCGAATTAGTTCGAATGTTCCCTTATGTAATACAGGGAAATTTATCGTCTAAATACGTACTTATCGAATTTTTTGAAAGATCTCATTTTATATTAAATTTTATCGAAATTGATATTATCTCTTTTCGATATCTATATTCTTTACGAATTTAAACAGAAGAAGAGTACGCTCATCCTATATATCCTTAACCCTTCCTCTAAGCACTGCCTAATCGTGCACAAAGATATACTTTGTAAACGGGGTACTACAGGGCCGAGCGCGAGTGAAACTCGTACACGTAATTGATGTAACCGAATTCCGTTCACAATTTCAAAAAGATAGAGATGAGAAAAAACCATAAGAATTGAACCGCTTCACTGCATCTCATAAAGAACAAGAAAGAACATCTCGTTTTTATTAATTTATCATACGCTCTGACTCTAAATGGTTGCTTTTATCTTTTTTCTTGTAAAAATATAGTATTTATTTAAAATTTAAATTATTAAATTATTTTAATAAAAATTAAATACTACAATATATAATCTGTTTTCTTGTTCTGTTTTAAATTTTCTCTCAGATTTGTGATGTACGAGAAAAGAAATAAATGCAAAGTGTATCGATACATTTGCGGACAATATAAGAAGAAAGTTGATGAGATTAAAATTAATTAATTAAAATTTTACACTGCGCGAATATTAAAAAAAAAATTAAAAAGCAAAATTAAAAAACTTGAAAAATAATCGAAACCCTTATAATTTCAAATAATTTATTAATATCTACGAAAGATGTTCTTTCACAATGTCATAGTTTTTAAAGCGAAGCATAAATAATGATCGAGAGCGAAAGAAAAAAAAGAAAAAAAGATGGCATTATCTGTCGGTCGATAAAAAGAGAGATCACTGTAAGATATACATATTATTACATAACGTAACGCTGCCACTGAACACATCCCATTAGTACAATTACCATATATATATATATATATATATAATTATAATAATATTAATATTAATAACCTGCAGTATATACTGGGACACACTGTATTATTAATTAAATTGATATTTATTAACGATTATAATTATTACATTATTACCACTATATTATCTATACCATTTGTACTTTACACTTCAGTTCGAACGAAATAAATGCCTTCTTTTTCATAAAAACAGTTGATGGAATGATAATGTTGTGAAAAGCGAATTTATTTTTATTAGATCAAATTATATTATCCCTTTTTGTGTGGTAATTTGCAAAAATCATGTGTATCGAAGATTTCCTGTGATATTAGATTTAGAAAACCTTGAATTTCCACCTTTCATAATAAGAATTAACAATATTAAAGCATCATCTGCGCTGATTATTTGCACGGTTTTTCCTGCGATTGTTGCAACGACACTTAATTTCTTTGTTATTCTTAGCTTGTGGAAGTTCGCTCTGTATACGTTGCCACAATTTCGTTTTCGAATGCGATAGGAGATACATTATTCCATTATCCCTAAATTTATGATTAAATTACATTTTATTTACATATACAAACTACCTATTTTTTGAGAATAATATAAATTAAAATTCAGAGCAACTTTCAATAAAAGTGTCAACATTTAATTTAATAATTTTAAAAGCAAAGGATTCAGATTTCACAATATTTATAACACTGATAACAGAAAATTTTTTAGAATGAAATCGCCATCAAACTCACGTAAGCTCCTTGAAATCGATGGCTCTTGTAACATGAAGAGTAGTGAGAAGAATCGTTGTTGCTATTCCATTTGTAAAAATCGTCATGGATGATTTGTACGCATTCAATATTTTGGCTGCATTTTCTAATCCCAATCGACTAAGCGTCTGCTCGAATTAAGTTTCAGTATAAATTTTTGCATGAATTAAGTTACAAAAATTCAATTAAAATTTTTATACATACAAATGTATGATTAAAAGCACTGTAATTTGCAGCAAATATTTTTATCATCAAGAATTGTTTTGTTAATGAAATAATATATTAAAATTAAAATAAAAAGGATAGAGCAGACATCATTACGTTACATGACAAATATTCTTTGGCAACGTGCTTAAGACGAGTACGTCTATCGGTGTCCACACACAGGCGATTGCAAATTCCAAAAAGAATGCTGTTACTAGAAACTGCAATTGAAAATGCATAAAAAGATAAAAATTTAAAATTATAAACAAGGCTAATGAAATAGCGTTCTCATCATCACACTAACCTCGTACAAACACATAAAGATAGGTTTTGGTGGTCGAAAAGATTGCGGAAATATTGTGGAATTGACGACGATAACATAGACACTTGTTAAAATTAAAAATTTGGTAACCGGTGGACTTGCTATTAGAGGACCGTATTCGTCTTCCATAGCATTAGCGAAACACGTTGGAAATATCGATATATTTAAGCTGTTGAGCATCAATGCCCATATTGTATAAAGTAATCGTACCATATTGTAAAGATATATCAAATAATCGTACTTTAGCCATTCGGATTTAATTTAGGAATTATATTGGTTTCCAGAAGAAAGCAAATATTTTTCAATGGCATTTATGATATGAAGTCAGCTTTGTAATTTCCAATTCATTAGATTGGAACATCGAATATAAAGCTTTTCAAACCAAAAATCCCTCAAAATTAAAAAGAATGTTTATATATTTGCACACATATAAAGCATCGCTAAATTATAATAGAGAGAATATAAAATATAAAATCATATAAAATCATATCGCTTTAAAAATTGCTAATATAATTTCTATAAGTTCTGATTTGTGTGGTTTAAGATTAAATCGATAAAATATAGACAAATATGATTTATTCTTATACTTATGCAATGTAGATAATGACGAAGATAATAATTTAAGAAAATTTACAAATAAATATTTATTAAATACAAGCATGTAAACAATAAAAATGTAACGAATTAGTAGAAGTTCTAACTTCCGTGATTTGCCGTAAATGAATTCATTCGATAAACTTGATAAAAGATTGATTGGGTCACTTCAGGATTGCTGAATGTAATCCTCTTGCTTTTAGGTTTGCGACGTTTTGCAACATTCATGAATTTTAAATGTCTTCCAGAGAACAAGAGAAATTAGATTAGACAATATCGTGGAATTTATAATGCACTCTATATCTTTTATTTCTCAAATAATAAAATGTAAATGAAGCTTTTTGTTGATAAATTCTAATAAAATAAATAAGCTATTTTTTTAAATATTATAGTAAGATTTAAATATCTCGTAAGATTTAAAATATCTCGAGAAACAATTTCTTTTCATTAAGACGAGAAGTTGCATATTAAAAAAAAGTTGCATTGTAATTTTATTACATGTCAGTGACAATTTTGCGGATAAGATTTTGAAGTTGTCAGGATTCACTACTTGATCCACGTATCCAGAAATGTATCCAGGGACTCGGTGGCATCCAGCATCCATACGAAGGATAATAACGACATGCAAAATGCCATATACGTCGCTGCGCTTTCTGTAGCCATATAATCCGCGATTAAATATAACCAAGAGTAGGTATCCAGACCCATCGTGGAATTCAACCAAATTAACTAAACAAAATGCGTATTCTCTTAAATAAAATAATGTATTATCACTGATAAAGTGTGATTTCAATTACAGAAGTTTAAACAGTGAAATCTCATTGAAAGGGATCAATTATGTTGTGATTGACAATTTAAAAAAAAATTATATAAGAATGAAATGATTGAGAAGAAATTAAAAATCATAATTTAAGAATATTATAGAGTATTGTATCTGGATGCTGCGTACCCATCTACTAGATTCTTGAGTCAGACAGAAAATTACGTGCATCATTGGTATCCATACCATACGAATTGCTAAATTGGTACTCAATGCAGCTATCAACATCTATATGAGAAAGCCAGCTTTCAATTAATATTACACTTTAGATAGCCCAAAATTATTTTTTTTATCATTCAAAGATATTAATTAATTTTAACATTTTATTTTTTTAATATTTTAATATTTTAATATTTTATTTTAATATTTTATTTTAATATTTTACTTTAATTGCACAAAATTACGTTTTAAATATAATTTATTTTTTTATATTAATAATTTTATTCTTTTTATTAAGAAACATCGCATAAAAATACAATCTTTCACTTCCTATTTAAATTGACTCTAAAGCGATAAATAGCAACACTCCAGGACTTACTTCATAAATATATAGCAACTGAATCGGTGGATCTTTGAGAGTTACAGGCCACAATCTGTATTCCGCTAACAAACATAAAACCGAGAAAACAAAAAGTACCGAAGCATATGACGGATCGAAAGGCAGAATATCTTCCTTCTCGAAACATAGCCCGATTATGCAAATTTGTCGAAGATGTGTGTACAATCCTGTCGCCACTACAATTGTCCAGTGAGGATCTATGAATCTGGCATAATATTTCACCGTTTCCATTTCGAGCTAAATATGCGATAGTTTTCTTGGATTTAAAAAAAATGATCGTTCTCTTATATATGTTTCTCGTTCCGCGACGATCTCACAACGATTTCAGTTCGAAATATGGATTAGCTAAACCTAAAAAAAAAATACTTTTAACTACGATCTATTTTTAAAATTATAAAAATGTTTATGAAAATTTTTTTTAAATATCCGAATTAATGATATTAGATAAAATAATTTATATTACGGTATCGTAACAAACCTTGCATGATGAGAACGATATCGTAGAAAAAAATGATGCTGATAGCATTACGTTTATTTCTTTTTATAAAATCAAAATATGAAGAGATTATTTTGGTTAGTATTTTAGTTTTGACATTAACAACAATGACAGATATACAGATGTTGGATATCTATTCTTTTCTCTGCTACTATTCATTAACATCAAATGTCGATATAGATAATTGTAGCTTGCACCAACTGTTAATTTATCATTGCACTATTATTATCTCGATGCGCATCGAGTATCTAGGTTATAATTTTATTAAAACTGTTGTATAACATAGAAACTTCAAGATTATCTCGCATTTGTTTCATTAAATAGATATCTAGTTTTTCATAGAAAATTATCATTTTTAATTTAATTAGCGATCTTGCTGTTTAATTAAATTATCATTTCAACAAAATCGAATCTGTTATTTCGTCTGAGATGAAAAGTTGATTTAATTTTTTAATTATCAAATTTATTTGATCAGATTCTGATTAAATATTACATTAATTCGTTTTGGTCTCGTAAGAATGACGGTCAATAAATACGTGAAACATTGGACATCGCGCTGGGCAATCAGTCGATCGACAGCATTAAATAAGAATAAATAAGAAGCGATTTGCTACAAGTGGATTAAAAGAAATCTTTCAATTTTCACAAGTTCCCATTTTGAATCAAGGAACAAGTGCCTCGATGACGCAGACACCGCGTTGTCGGTTAATGGAATACTCTTGTCCACGTTCTCTTCTTTTCAGACTCTCAATTAATTTGCTTTCATGCAATTCTTTTTATTCTTGACTTTTTAAGTGCAAACCGTTAATTTCTTCCGGAATAAATACGTGCTTTTATATTAACATTTATCATTCTTAAGAACTGAAACAACATGATTGAAGATATATATGATTTTATTATAAATAAAAATATAAGAAAAATGGACGCAATATATGTTTAACATAATGACATGTTTAATTAAGCACAAATTTACCCTATATGATATACAATTTTAATAAATTTATTTCAATAATAGAAGTCGCCTTTTTTCTTTTATATATTTTATATACATACAGATAAGATAATTTTAATCACTCCACTAGAAAAAAGCGATATTGAGCTTAAGCTGTAATACATATGCAATTGCAAAAATGATGCACTATTTTAATGTAATTTCAGAACAATTTAATTAATTCTAATAGAAACTGGCACAAGTATCACTTTCACTTTTTATTTGCAATCATTGTTTTTATTTTAGCATTTGTCTCCTTGAATGTAATAAAACCTTACCTATATTTTACGTGTTTTCTATAAATTATTACCGCACAATATTGCATTGCAGCAAGATTCTTATCGCCATTTGTATCAGTCTTTAACATATAATATACGGAAATTGAATCGCTATAATTCTATATTCAGATAAAATCTTCAAAGATACATAAGAATTTTAGGACACGTGTATTAGATTCATTCAAAGTGCATGCCATATGCATATTTATATAAGAAGGATATCAAAACTGCATTCATTTCATTAAAAGAACGTAATTGAATGGCTTTTTGTCATCGTTGTAGCTTATCAATAATTATTTTTGTCTCAATATATATTACAGGCGACAAGAAGCAAATCATGGACCTCGATTTTACTTTTATATGTCTGATATATTACTACTATTATTTTATAATTTAACACTTTAATAAAAAGAAGAGGTCATTTTTCTCCGCAATAGCCACTACTCTCTTCTAGTTAGATCTACGTTTTCTGAAACAATGCGTCCTGTATCTCGCTTTCATACATAATGCATTATATTTGGTGAAAGCTTTCCTGTAACTGTTGCGAAAACGAATGGCGTTGAATAATAAGATCGACTTGTAAATCAAAATTTCGAGTTAAGAGAAGTTTTGATATCATTGAGAGAAAAGAATACAAAAAATGGCAATTTTTGATCCTAGTTATGTTTAATTATAAAAAATGATTTAAAGCAAGTAAATTTCTTTCGAAATTGTATAAAACTTTTTGATATATTATGTTACAAAATTTTAAATTAGAGAATATAAAAAATTTATATATAGAGAGATAGAATAAATTAAAACTATTATACAGTTTATTCGCTCGCTTTTATTTCATTATTTTATTATATTATTTATTACTTATTACTATTATTATTTATTACTATTATTTATTTATTATATTATTTATATTATATATTATACTTATTATGTTATTATATTATTCATTATATTATATTATTTTATTTATTATATTATAATAATTTTATATTATTATAAGTTTATTAGAAATATTTTATTTTAGTTTGACAGAAATATTGTTAAAAAGATATTAAATGTAAATCGATAAATAAGTAGTAAGATAACTATGTTAGGATTTTCACAATAACTAGGAATTCAATGTTGAATCTCGTCACTTCCACGGACCTGATATGGTTCCTAATATGGAACAAGTGCGGACACGGAGGTAGCACTCAAGTAGAGAGCACCAGGAAATTGCTCTCTCTTCAATCCATTCCCTTTGTCTGCTCTTTATGCGGTTGACAATCTCGCTACGTAAACGTGGATTACGGTTAAAAGATAAGGGGATTATTCATTGAAAAATATGATTGATATTATTCCCTGTAAAAAAACAAAATTCCAATTGTTTCTTCTGTAAAATCATTCTTTTCGTTTCAATAATTAAAGACGGAAATTAGATGGTTGATTATACAATGGATTGATATTATTCTGTGTTTGCAAGACAGATTTTACAGCATGTTACGTAAAGAGAGATCGTACAGTAAAATTATATATATTGTCATAAAATTAGAAATAAAATTTAATAATAAAATACACATTTAAAGCAACGTACACTCAAATTCTATTAATAATAAAGTGTTTCTATTCCAAAGTTTTTATTTTCAATCAAATATTAATCAAATAATAAAGTCTTTCTATTTTCTTACTTTGAACTCGATTTTTATAACTTATAAAATAATAAAGTGTCTCCATGTTTTATTAAAAGAAAGCATATATTTATCTCACTTTTATTTATATGATTCATAAATAAAAGAAAAAAGTTATTTCATATAAATCGAAATGTTTCATGGGAAACTCCGAGAATCTTTTTCTCCATGCTATCTACTGTACTTTCCTCGACTGACGTCGAGTTGATCTTGACGTCAGAGATACAAGTTCGCAACAAGGCCTACGTAAAGTGGCCCAATATGATTCGCGACACATTCGCGGAAAGTCCCGGCGATTACAAGATACAGTGTGATCTGGCAGGTAACCATGACGACGGCACAGTGCATCGAGGAAAAGTACATTCGTTTCCGAGATTCGACTACCTCCGACGCGTAAGAAGTATGGCAATAAAAGAGCGAAGAAGGGTGGCGGGTGGTTAAAGAGGAGGAAAATCCGACCGAGCGAGAGTCCTCTTGGAAAGTCGTACCACTCTTAGCGTCCCTCCTTTCATCCCTCTTTCCCTCTCACGGATAGAAGGAAATGGCTTTTCTCGAGAACATGCCGAGTTCTTACTTTCCTCGCATTCTTATGCTCGAGGATTATTATCGAATTGCTCCGTTCTGCCCCGCATATTAGATGAGTTAACATTTCCGCTCGGGGAATTTACTGTTCGATTTTACTATCATGTGAAATCTTTTATTATATTATACGAACAGTTTTACTTTTTGTTACAATATAAGGAAGATGAATTTGTCTGAGTGGAGGAGAATTTTTTGGGTGAAATTATTATTTCTTCAGGCATGAATTTGTCGCGTTAATGTAACATTTTTACAACTGTTTTAACATGAAAATAAGTTTGGTCAATTGTTTTGAATAAAAACAACGAAAGAAATATTATTTTGTTAAATAATATTTTCACTATAAAATAAAGAAATATTATTTTGTTTTGACTAAAAACAACGAAAGAAATATTATCTTGTTAAATAATAATTTCACTATAAAATAAAGAAATATTATTTTATTTTAACTAAAAACAATGAAAGAAATATTATCTTGTCAAATAATAATTTCACTATAAATTCTGATATATTTAGCAATACAATGATTACATTGCGACATATTTATAAGATTTAACAATCAAAATCATTAATATATTAATCAAGATAAAACATAAGCAGCACTTGAGGCAGATAATTATTTTCCGATTCGAGCAGTAATTAGTTATCCATTAATGACTTATGCAATCAATGTAATATGTATAGACATCCATTAATGTGAATGTGTAGGTTATTAAATATTTAGATAAGTATTATACCTTATAATATTTCATGTGAAATCGACAGTTTCATAAATCTCTTTATACGAAGAAATAATAAAATCTAAGATGCATCCTTTCTTCGCTAAAAATAATTATAAATAAAGATAATTAAATAAAGATAAATAAATAAAGATAATTAAACAAAAATAATTATAACTAAAGATAATCAAAGTAAGAGAACATGTACAATATGATGATTCAGTAACAATGAAGTCGAGAAAATTCTTATGTTCAGCTTCCGTGAAGTGACCTTCGTTTATTATTATATACGCTGTTGTGAAAGGACGATTGTTTTCGCTAAGATTCCTTTCTAGATCAAGATCGAATTGCCTAAGATCTTGTGTCAGAACAGTCAGCTGATGAACGTCAAGTATTTCTTCTAACGTCGCTACAGAAGGACGCGTACGATCGCAAACTAGAATCGAGCTTATCCGGAGCTTTAATTCCATTTAACGCCTGAATGCTTCCTTGATTTCGCATCTG